CGCAGGTGCACCATGTGGAATTGGGTGGCTAACATGCATGGTCGCATGACTATGGCGTGGTACTTACGTATTCCTGAGCATTCGACATGACGTTATTTTCGCTCCCGACCATTTAGTTGCTAACGGCCTTCTTTTTGCTGTCTTGCATAAAAAGGAAACGGGAAACATATTGCAAATTAACTCGCAGCCACTAGCATTGACACACGTATAAACTGAATATACTTCTCACATTTTTGTTTTGTGTTCAGCTTGAGGATTGCCGGCACATTGGAAGGATTTAAGTGAGGGTCTGTGTTTGTACAAGAACCTGCAAACAACTTTTAACGACAGCATCTGCGAAATTGGTACGCCTTTATCAATCTAAGGACAGTATACCATTATCATTATGTAAGTATTGATTCTGGCTACCCCATCGCACAACGGAAGTTTGTGGGATGCCGACAAGCCCTGCCTTGACTGACTTTGGACAGTCGTCCGAAAACGTTAATCATGACTGTTAGCTATCATCAGAGTGTTTAGGTATCACTGAAAAGATTTCATCTCATCCACCCACATTTCCAGTCATTATGACAATAATACTGGACGTATACATCATCTGCGGTACTTTCTCCCACAAATTCAACTGAAAGTGTTTTATGATCAACTAGATGATTCATGAGACCTCTTTATCACCTAAAGCGGATACTCCGCGCATACTTTATCACTTACCCTATTTAGGTGCAGGGCTCAAAATTTCGAATCACTAATGTCCAACCACCTCCAACATCTGAAGTAGCACATGTGTGCAATTATGCCCAAAACGGCATGCTCTTTCACTTACTGGGGTGAATTATTATTATTGTCACCGTAAGAATTAGCTATTATAGTTGCTGGTCTGCAAATGCACAGACCAGCGAGAATTCTGTAGCTGGCCCAAGGAGGTACCGAGTAAACCAAAATATCAAGTTAATTACGATGAGCAAAGGTATACGCAATGATATACCACTGTGAGAAGTTTTGCGTTGTAGTAAAAAATAACGCCAATGTTATGCGGAGTAAATAGTTACCTGAATGTTGTCCTCTTGGTACTGTCCGCCACAGTTTTAGTACACTCCAATATCAGTTCAGGAGGTAATAACTGTTGGCCCTCCAGTGTGGACATTGGGTGGCTTGGTTGTGGTGATACTGGGGATAAGGATTGGAGGCCCTGTAGAATCCAGGGACGGTCAATAAGTATTCATGTCGTGCACCAGTTAATGGAGGCGGAAGTCGGAGCGCAGAGAAGTACCGCTTATTTTCTGGTTTACAAAGCATAGCACCAAACCCAAGGCTTCAAACATGAAGTCATGCAGCTGAGCAAAATCCACCTTTGCAAGCATTTAGAAGAATGCACAAAACGTGTAAAGAAACGATAAAAGAGAAACATTGTCTTTGATTAAGCTGGTTCATGAAGCATTTCATGCCGTCTCCATGCAGATCACTACCGGTAAATGTGAAGGAACTGTCTAGGAGAAAGAAAAATGGGCACCCAGATCCGGGCCAGAAAATGTTCAGAATAAAAAAGTTCGTGGGCTTGTTGTCAAAATTATATCATTGAGGAAACAGGATCGGTGCTGAGAAGGAAAATTATAACAATGATGATCTCTGTCACTTGAATAAGCACGCATTTCCTAAAGTGCTCATGAACATGAGTAAAATGTGGCACAAACTGATGACAGGTAAAGTGTAAAATATGCGTTCTTTAAACATCACGAAGAACGTGGAAAATGTGTAATGGATTGATGAGAAGAAAACGTTATTTTTGATTTTAGTGGCTTAGGAATAGTTTCACACTCTGCAAGTGCTGGCTGAAGTAAACAGAACTTTGAATGTCTTATGTGCGAAACCACGTTAAAGATTGTATGCAGTCTGACATAATTTAAGGTCGCCAAGAATCATATTCGGTAGACGGTCTTCAGCCTCACCCAGCCTCTTGAAGATCTCATTTCAGCTGCTGGACTTTTGAACCGCCTAATACCTAGTAAACTGATTTCTACTAATCCAGGCGACCATACTTCTTGAAACTCTCAAGCAATCTACAGCCTCGGTGTTAAGCGCAAATGTTCCTCGGCCGTCCATTTCAAAATGAAACACCCCCTCGTTTATCAACTGAATCTCAAGTTAGGCGTGAACGTCAACTACAATGAAGAAATGGACAGTGATGTGCCGTTTAAATGAAGTGTAGCCAGTTCAAATTCTAGAAAACTTTGATAGCTTGGGTACGCTACCTTACAACGAATATGTTGAAGGTTGTCATGTGAAGCGATTTAAGGTAACTGGTTAGTTTGCTCATGTCGTGCAACATTTTGAACCCTCCCTACCCGGTGTCACAAGGCGTCAGAGCCGTGAAAATGCACTCCAAAAAATTCGCTGCGTAGTAAAATAACCGAAATAAGCTCACAATTTTCATATCCGTCTTCAGCATTGCAGTTTTGGCAGATTTTGTATGACAGCATATACGCTGACATTAACAAATAAATAAATGTATCAGTGTCACTAAATACTGTTCATCTACTTTGAAATCAAGTCACGAGAACCGGCATCTACGTTTCACATTGAAAGAACAATCCCTTGAGAGCAGTCGTAGACCGGGCGACCATTTAAACGCAAGGTGTGGTTTCCTTGCTCATTTTGAATTGTAGGCACCACCTATGATCTATATCTGGGATTAGCGAACGGCAAGCATTCTAAGAGGCGGTAATTTCTGCACTTACTGCAACGCTGATACTGACTTGTCTTACGCAGCATTTTTTGACTGAGTCGGTCAACTTTTCGATGATACATATAGAGAACGTTTCCTGGTTGAATTTTATTTTGCAAGTCTTAGTTATTTCTGAGTGCAACAGGTGGCTCTCGGTTTCTCGTCGAAAGCACAAACCGTGCTTACTGCAGAGCGAAGCAATCATACTCAAAGCTTGCTATGAAAGAGAAGACGCCAGTCGTTGAAATCTTTATCCCATAAAAATGAGGAGTAAAAATTTTTATGACACCGGACAGTAGAAGCACGGAGAAGGAACTTCTTAAACCAGACAAAAGGATCACAACTGTTGCATTGAGATGCATTTATCGTTTGAAATTTACGTGTGAAACCAGTTAAGTAGCGGGGAATGTGTAAAGGGTATGACCTACGTATTGAGGTATCTTGGGAGAAACACAGAGTTTACCGATGAAGTAGCTAGTTAGCCTAAAGGAACCAGACACTGAACACCTTTCGTGTGTTGTGTATAACACCGCAACACGAGTAACATCCTGAATACGCTATGCTTGCCTTCCTTTATTCAGAAATTACTAATTTAGTACTGGTACGTAGAACGTGAATGATCCTCCTTCCTCCCCCCATTTTTTTCGTTTGGGTTACAAAGCATCGTTTGCTTACCTGGTATTTGAAAACCATAGTATGTTTGAGGCTTTGCCATTACATTCCTATAGTGTCAAAATGATATGGCCGAAAGGAAAACACGTCTCACTCCCAGACGTGGGCACGCACATGCCAAACACTCACCGCCTGATCAAACGCCCTCACGGATGAAGACTGATAGAACAAACTTCCCGTCATAGTTGCAACCCAAGATGATCACGACGTAGCACTAACTTGGTGAATAAATTCTGGCAACCGACATTTTTAGTTGGCATCTCAGGTTTGTATTCAAGATACATCTAATTGTATATGAATAATAGCGTACACAGTGACAATTGGCGGGTAGCTGATGAAGCTATTTAGTCCTTAAAGCTCAGGATTCACAAAGTGTAGTCCTCAGGTCCTGTAACTGGTTTGTAAGACTAATTAACGGGATATACCGCAATCGCACTGGACCCAACGCCAAAGTTGATGTTTTTTCATTGAGGCACAAACAATTCCGGCAGTCAGTCAGTTTTCTTTCCAAAGTCAACGAAAAATCGGCGATATTGTGAGGGCATGTGAGCTAAAATTATCTGATTTTCAAGATTGTATTCATTCTGTCGATAGCCGAATGCAGTGAAGGCGAAATGCACTTGAAGCTTCACTGAATATTTTAGTTTTGCTGCTTGTAGTTTCATTTCTCGTTGATATCGATCACATAAAAGGAGTGCAATGTCAAAGCTACGAATAAGTTAGGGAGTGCATTTACAGTAAGAACCTGAAGATGATATACATTTTCGATTTCTGTCATACGCCGTGTCCACAAATCTTGTTTTTCACTTGGAATTTATGACTACTGTAAACTTTGCAACGGGCTCATGAACACCCCGTTATTTCAAGCGATTCATATAGCGTTGTTGCGCGTCCATTTGCCGAAACTTTATTTGAAGTACGTACTTAGGACTGAGTTCAACTCAGGATTCGAAAATTTTAATTGGTACAGAGAGAATACAAGTTGCTTCAGCGAGTAGACTTATAAAATTCAACGCTAGAAATCTGCATTTTAAACATATTATGCTCCCCAGTTTGTAGAAAAACCCACTTACTAGAATACCAGCAGAACCAGATCCATTTTCCGCACTCTACCGTTTCCCATCTGATACATGGAACATAACTTTCAAAAATATCCCTGAAACTTTTGAAATACGTCACGCTTGCTGCACCAGAACAAGATTGATGGTGCAAAATGCCACGAGAAGGAAAAGATAACGATTAGAAAGAATGAAGATCAGTCACCGAAGCCGATGTCAAAGAAAGTTTAGATGACCAGATGGATAATTAGTTAGTAGTGAAGATTAGAAAAGACCCAACAAACAACATTTTATACGTTGACACTTTCTGAATATTGTTGTTCATATGTCCACACATACATATGCATAAATTAATGCATAACAATAATTCAAACAAATAAAGGTACATATTACAAAAAAACTTCTGGTACCATTAAAGGAGAATGATGAAACAAAAAATACCAGGCCTCAAGGCCTAGAAATGAGAGCTCAAAATCTACAGGTGTCATACACTTGCACTACGTATGTTGGATATTGAATTCGTTTGTTCGCACTAAATGAATAAAAAGGTATGACAACAGATTTAGTGCTGGCATTAACGACGCCAGTTGGATCATTGGAATATGTGCTATGTGGGTCCCGAGGTGAATCACATAAAACAGAGCAGGGGTGGAGACTGTGATATTTTTAGTCACTATGCGACGTCATACGCAGCTTCTTACAAACAGCATTTGAAAAATTTCACTTCTTCAACTTGTTCATATTATGGTTCTGGGTTTGTATCCAATACGAGACCAGTACTACATTACACCAGTTTCCTTGACGAGAAGGATAATCCTGCCATCAAGTATTCTCAAATAAACCTATTTTATCCATGGTTGTAAAGAGCTGTATTAGACTATAACTATCTGACTACAACTCACAAGGACTTTACACCATTTGCAACACCCTCTGGAAAGGAGCTTCTTCCTTGCCTTAAACGTCCATCAAATAAAAAAATCAGGAAGAGAACTTTTTCTCGGTAAGTTTGCTCGTTGTTGACGTCAAACATGTAGGCAGAAGGTATGCTTAACTACCAGAAATTGAATGATATTCTTACTCCTGTAATGCCAAAAGTTAAACCATTGCTCCATAGTGAAAAAGGTCTCTGGGATGTTGAAGATGAGAATTTTGGCCATGTATGTCTTGCTAAAATGTGTAACTCACTTTTAGGGCCCTGGGTGTTATTCAACAACCTACTCAACACATTACTGTAATGCGAAGTCTAGGTCGAGTAAGTCACATATTATTCCTTAACCTCTTCCTTTTTTGAATGTTATCTCATCGAACAAGCCAAATAAAACACCGATAAAACATTAGATCCCACTGTTTTTTATGGACTTTCAATCAGTCTTCGCTTGAGATACATGTGATGAGTTTGAAATCTGGAGAAATAGTAAGGGAAGAAAATATAGATGACAGAGAACTTTGTATCATGTCTTCTACTTTCAGTTGACGAAGCTCAGGTTCTCAGCTTACGTTTTCCCTCAGTTCCGATGCACTTGGTTTTTGAAACGAGTCTTTTCGTGTGTTGGCATACATGTTACACGTCATCAACGAATCTGTTTCCTTTGCTTCAAAAAATATCAATAAATGGTTTGAGTGAGCGCAGCAAACTGAAAGCTTTTAAAACCTAACGTCAAGACTGTAAGGCTAGATTCTTTTTGTTTTGTTTTACTATGGTGGCCGCAGATGTCTTTTCTACTTTCCTATGTATAGCTCTTGAGGATCTGATAGTTTGTTGGTTTTTTAATATTCATTACTCGGCTAGGTGTGTACAGAAACTATGGAGCTGCTAGGAAGCCTGATGGCTTTCTCTAACTGCTATCTGTATGGGGGGCTAAATGAATTTTAAAGAAAAATAATGCAGAAACCAAGATAATGTTCAAGATGCAAATTTCACTATCTTTATTTGAGTTAGCTGGCTACCATTATTTTATTTTATTTGTCTAGTAGGTAGTTACTGATATATATATATATATATATATATATATATATATATGTATATATATATATAACATCTCACCGGACCTGAAATTCCTATGCGATTAAGTACTATAGCTCATGCGGATATGAAAAGAAGCTAATTTTCGAACCACTTAGGATGTTACCTTGATTAGTATTTTCTAGCAACTTGCTTCGTAACACGGCTGCGGCTGGTTGTGCTCTAATATATTTCCTTTGCTTGCAATGAGGGATAAGACTCTCAAAAACATAAATCCAGTGTCAGCTATGCTTCGTTTCATTTTGTTTCGGTAGATATCAAGCTCGCGATTCAACCTGCAATGGTATTACTTTATAAATCCATTCTCGCACAGAAAAAGCTGAAATCACAGAAATAACATAGATTCGTACGTATTAAGTGCTTGACATATAAAAACTAGATCTTAAACTAACTACTTTGGCATTGCTTTTTAATATTCTGTCATGAGTTTGAAAGCAATGATAACAAAAATACCTAAAGTTCCAGTTTTTTCTTGCTGTAGCTTTGATAATTTATTGTTTTTGCAATTTCGAAAGTAATTTGAAAGAAATCCTCTAGGCTTCATAAGTGGCAATATAAACCATTATTTTTAGAGGATGTTACAACAATACACACTCTTTGGGGATCATTCTGTTTAGACAATACAGTTTACACGGTGTATACAAACAACCAGCACGTGTACAAGAGCTCATTCCTGAGTTTTCTCAGTACTTGAACCTCTTGGTTTGTATAGCTCACTTGTGAAGGGCAATAACTCAATTTTCTGATCAACTTTTTTATTCTCTAACCATTTGATATCTGAAGGATGTGGTACTATAAATACCTTTTGATGTTTCCTGTGGTATGGTTCTTAAGGCTTCTGAGTTTAGATTTTAATGCTTAATGCCTGAATTGTAAAAATTTCCCATAAAAAATGAATGTTTTGTTTCATAGTTGTCGGATTTGGCTCATGAAGTATAAATCCAATAGTCCAACTTGGCATGGAATAATCGTAAATCTATAACTTTTATCATTGAAAATGAGTGTATTAAATACCATAAGTTATTGAACAGAATATTGAATGCAGCTGTGAATATCGAAGACTGTCGAAAAATCAACCAAAACTAATTTTACAAATGATCACTTAAATGAATCCTCAAAGAAAGTTTCCAACGTTTCAAACACCTAGTTTTTCACATTAAATCTGTTATTAGGCAACCCATATTTGCAATATACCTTAGTATTATTTTGACATATTATTTTGTTCTTGAGTAAAATACTTTGCTACCACTACTGTCCACTTGAATTCAGTTAAGTTGCGGTACTAGTATTATTCGTGGTCTTTGGATCAAGTCTTCAGTCTTAATCAGTAAATCAGTTGTACTCTGTTCGTTGAAATCACGAAATTAAGGTCTAATTTTCATTTCATCGGAACTGTATTTTTCGTATTTGATGTTAATAAACCATTTGCTTTGCAGGCTGAATTGCTGCTGAAAAAGGATGATTACTTTCATTAGTTTATCCACAGACTGAAATTAAATTCCTACTAACTTAAATCAATGTCCGACTGTTATGTGATATGAACACGTTTATGATGAAGACATAAACCAACTAATGTTTCACATACGTGTAAAGGGGTATCATAAAAACTCAACTAGAACCAGACGAAAATCAGTATTACTAGTCTTAAGTCGAATATAAGGACTAAATCCTTTATGACCTTTTTATCTTAAGAAACTTTTAATAATGTCTTACTGACACAATGAATATCTATAGCACAGATTTAGGTGGCACTGAATGTGTAACTAACACTTCTGATTCGAAGTGTATTGACGCAAGAGATATTTTTTTCAAGGTTCTTTTATCATAAAATACGAACAAAAACCCACTAGATCACCACAATGTACTGTTGAACGAGGCTGGTGCACAAGCAGTCTGAGATAACTGACCTTATAAGTAATGAATTTTTCACTACCATAATGATTCAGAAGCGGCCTTTGTTTTATGTGGAGCTACTGATGAAAATAAGTGTTCGCAAATATATATGTACTGGTACAAATGGACGGAAGTGGAAAACTTAATCTATCTGTACTCACCATATATGTAAGCCACAGAACTTCAGTGATCCTTTACATTCATCATTAAGAAACCTCTAAATTTTGTGCAAATCTTTCGTAATAAATCTGATGATTAGTCAGATATCTTTTCGGTGAACGGTTTAAAAATATTATTTTCAGTATATTACGAAAGCAGTTTACAAACTATCACAAACTGGCGCCTGAATACTACGGCTTTCTACTTGGATCAAGTTCCGTTTGTTGCCATCCTTAGGTTTGGTTTGTGTACTTTTACTTTGATCTAATCAAGATTTGAATATTACGCAGTTAATATTTTCCAAGTGCCACTGCTTTCTTTCGAAGTAATTCTAGGCAATCTTATGTGTTTTAGTTAAATGTGACAGGCTGTTCTATTGTAGCATCACATACTTCCCCAAAATCAATAGCCTAGGGTTCGATGAGATTCAACATTGATGCTGATCTTGATAGTTTAACTGGACTCGCTAAGCTGAAGGCACCCGGTCAAGCATCCTCGCCATTTGGCACGCTGTCGTGTTACGTCGCACTGCTCGTATTCGACTCTCTAGCCAGTTAGTTGGAACGCATCGGTATCTTGGCACAACCACCCAAATATACTATTCCATCCTACTACGCTATTGTGTTCTTCCTTGGTCCTGTATTCGTGGGTATATAACAAGTCCGAATAATTAGTGATTTATCTTTGCGTCTGTCAAGTTCGCACCAGGACAAATCCCAAACTGTCATCCGAAATATTCACTGTCCCAGTTTAAAGACTTTTAGCAGTCTACTACTACTGTATGTATGCGAAGGTTTTTTACTGAATAACAATTCTAAGCATATAATATTGTGTAGATATTCTATACGTGCATTTTATTGTCAGTGAGTTAGATGTTTCTAAGTCTCCATAAACGATAAGAGAATAAGCATATACTTCAAAATGTTTCTTCTTGATAGCCCTACACTGTTAGTCAAATAGGATGTTTCGTATTGTGTCTGATAAATGCAGCTTTCTTTGTTCTAGCTATGACTATATCTAGATAATAACCTATTTGAATAGAAATGTTACGCTAATAGTTTTAGTCTTGTTCGGTTGAATAAAATCTTATACTGAACATGTCTCGACAAATAAATAAATATTAGTGGTATTATTTACCTTCAGTGCTAATTCAAAGAAACTTAGCAATACCTTATTATTATCTGAATATTATTTGGCGAACTCTTCATCTGCAAAAATTATAAACATATTAATCAAACAGTCCTCAGTGGTAATATCACTTCTCCAGAACGCATTTCTATTGGAAACAATTCTAATAAAGTTCCATCGCTTTCCTCATTTTTATAGATTTGTAAAGTATGTGTGAATTTAGAATTCATCTTTCTTTCGAAGATTGTTTTTCTACAGATTAATTTGTTTCCCTATATACTTCAGATGACCCAGCTATAACAAGTGTCGGCCGTAAAGAGGAATCTGGTTCTACCCGTAATATAAACAATTTTGATGCTGTCAATAACCGTTTCGTTCATTCATATGTAACGGTTGAACCACGCTGGAAAACTGATCGAAATACTGGGCAAACTGTCTATATGGATGACTTTAGACCTTACTTGTATAAAAACGGCTCTGAAGCTCTACCACGTTGGATGGGTAATTTGTCATGCCAGAAACCGAACAGCTATGTACTTCAGAATAAACTTTGGCCTGAATATAAAACTATTCATCCAAGAAATGTGAGTTATTGGTGTACAACTAGTACCATATGTTCAGAGACAGAATAAGGTGATTTCATTTTTATTATGAGATATCATTAGTTCTGTTGGTCATATGATATCCTATATTTTTTTCAAAAACTTGTTGCTGCCTGAGCTTATTTGTCTTGGGTAAATTTATTGACTTGAGTCTAGTTTTTAGATTCAGTACTGCTCTACGATGAGGTCATAATTGCATGTTTAATGGACATGTATTATGAATATAAGTGAAGACCTATTAGTATCTGTAATCACTATGTTAATTTCTTTGAGCTGAAAATCATTCACCAGTTAATCAAGTTTAAGCAGTTATTAAACTTGTCACTTGAGTATATTACCATCAGTTGGTATATCTGTATCCGAGTTCGGTCAATATCTTTAAACTGCTGTCTACAGAACTGTTTAAGTAGGGGGGGGGGGGGGAGAATTGCAAATCGTTAACATGAGTGAAAGTGATATGAAATTATATTTCGGCTTTTATTGAAAAGATTGTTTCGATGATCAAAAAACTATGATTAGTAATTCCGCTTATTAATTTTGAAGGTATGGTAATATGTTTTGAACGAGGAGATATAACGAATAATAGCAAAATAGTTTATAACTTCTTTCATTAAAATGCAACACTTTTTTCAAGAGTTTGTTTGTTACTTGTTAGCAGCTAACTTTGGAAACACTGACATTCTCACCCATTGGTTAGCTCAAAGTACCAATGATTTTATTTCAGCATAATTTATGACATTATGAATCCATTGGTATGAGTGTACAAAAAAGTATTTATCTATGAGATTTAATGACACGTTATGCTGTCTCTTTGGATGACTGAAACTAATCAATAATGATCACTACTTTTCAACTCAGCCATCGAATGACAGTCAAACCACCGTAGGAGTAAAGAATGTATTCCTTGATTTCTGGAAGAGTCGATAGTGAAATATGCTCAAAGAATTAAACAAAAGGATGAAAGTTCATTGTTTCCTGCTAATTATAGTCGGATAATAATTCCTAAGGATACTTCTTAGCTATTAATAATACAATGACTATCATTTTGACTATCTCGGACAGCCGTGGTTTGGCAGACTAGTATTGATATTGAGTGATAGTTGAAGGTGAAATGAGAATTTAGGCCATGGCAGAATTCAAAACAGCGACCACCGAGTTTCCGGTTCGACTGGGCAACCAGTGTGAGTATGATCAAGCGGTAGTAATGCGTCATGAACTCAAAAGCCACTGTGGAAAAACCCTTGGTGACTGAAGTGAAATAAAGCCCTAGTCAGCAGTCGGGTCTCATAACTCAGTTGATACAGCACCCGGGCCGAAAACCCGGTGGTCGTTGGTCAGAATCCTGCCGTGGCCTAAATTTTCATTTATCTTCAATCACCACCCAGCAGTAATACAGTGGTCAGCCTATGGATCTTCTTACTTTTGATGTCTTCAGTTAGTTGTTACAAATTTTATTTAGTAATCTCATCGTATTCAATGAAAAAGTTCTGTCTAAGCTTAATTAGCCATAAATATGTTTCCTGCTGACTGTGGTTTTCCTTGTAACTCAACTGAGAGTGCTCTACGCGCTTATTAAATAAAAGTTTGCAAACATGGTCCAATAAGTTATTCATAATGCAACACAGAAGTTATCATGCGAAAAATCGAAGTGTCGAATAAACAGTAAAAGAAGGAATGTACCTACATAATAAGCTAAGTGATTTTGGTTATTCCATGAATAAAAGTTAGATCTGGGTTGACAATGGTGAGTCAGAAGTGTAAATCAGAACAATGTCACATTCTACTGACAAATGTAAACTCGAAATTTCTAAAATCTTTATTAGAAAAGAAAGTTTTCATAAGTAAACTGCCATTTTGTGTTTATGTAAAAGCCAAAATTCTCATAACTTTTTTCAAAGTAGTTATAGGACTGAGCAGAAAAAAGGATTCTCATCGTGTAAGACTTCAAAATACCCTTTCGTTTTTCCAGTATTACTGTGTAGATTTACTTAACAGATGGTAATTTAAAGTGGTAAATTATTGTCAAACCCTGATAATCTTAATATTGTAAAAGTATTCAACGGATTGCTTATGGGATGACGTCGTAGTAAGTGTCCACAGTTACCTATATTTCTTTTAGAAACAAGCAGTTTGAAACTTTATTCATTGTTTCTAAAAATTGTTTATGAAGCTTTTGATACCTGATAGACGACAGTTAACTAAACAGTAGAAGCAACGTGTAATACGATAAGTAGTGTTTTAGTGATCAAACGGAAGTAGAGTTGTGCTCAACATACCACTGTAGAGAAATTTAAGAAACATTCGTAGTCTTATCGAACATAGAAGGAATTTAAAACATGTGATGTATTGGCTCTGTATACTTCTAATAGTTTGATCACACATGAATGACTAATAGGAAATTTCAGAAAAGTCAATACAACTAATTCACTTTAAAGAAGAATGCATTTATCATCTTGAAAAGACGAAACAATGTCACCAGCTAGAAAATATAGTCCTTGAGTAAATCTACTTACTAATCACTGTCAGTCCAGTTTACAAAGCTGTAGGCATACACAAACGTTTTTCGAAAAGCGATAGGTTACAAAAGGTTACCAGTAAATCTTTATGATAAATTCTGTCTAACCACCTACACCTAATTCCCGAAGGTTCTGAGTTATAGATGCTCACAATAAACTGCGAAGAAACACATAGAAGTCGGCAGGCCATTTGCAGGAAACTTTGGTGATCTTTGAATGAATGGCGAGGAAATTTCCATTGTAAAACAGTTCCTCTTTTTCCATCTCAAATGAACCAAGAGGTGTCAGTGCAAATATAAGTTGTTTTGTAAAATATTAACTGACGTCACTCAGATTGCAAGAACCCAAGAAGTTTAATCAGAATATATATATATATATATATATATATATATATATATATATATATATATATATTCTTGTAACAATTCCTTTTATGGTAAAATATGATCAAATAGACAGTAGTTATATGCTTATATTCGCATAATTTAGGTATATGATCAGGCCAAGGACATGTCTGAAGAACGTTTAGAAAAACTGAGAAAAGAAGACCCCGCTGAATATCAGAATGCTGTTTCTGCATTTATAGAACCAAGGTAAAATTTATTATCCTCCTTCTGGTTTAAAAGATTGCATGAGCAGGCTTCACAACTACTGTCTGTCACATTTTTCAAGAGAATATGTAGCTTTAATATTTCATTTATACGACCTCTGTGTGAATTATAAAAGTAACAGAATGGAAATTATGGACATTCATAATAAGCGATTATTTTTAGGCCTTTGGTTTTACTAGAATTCTCCTTCAATTTTCATAAACTACTATTCCTTTATGCCAGCTTGTTGCTGTTCAAATTGTTACTGTCTGATCCTCTAGTATATTGATACTTGGAATGAAGTTGAGTACCAAACTTCATGTTTTTAACCTTCCTCCGATTAAAATCAACACGTACCCATGGTCTCAACCTTAGAGACACTGACTGTTAGTTGGAGTTATGTATACCAGTCTTGACTATCCAAGGTCTCCGGTGTAGCAATAACCTACGGCTAGAGACATTAATTGGTGTCCATGGAAATCACTGAATTTCCGTATTGAATCATTGGTCAACAGAAGGCAAGCTTTTATCTTAGTTCTCAATCCCCTTTTATCCATAACTTGGTTTCCTTTTTTTGCTCAACTTGTTTATCCTTCAATCTATGCAAGCAATGGTCACGGAGCACAAATACTTTCAACAAGTGACCAAAATCAAACCACCTCTTTCCCCCAGGTTATGGATGTCCGACTTCATCTATAGTTAACCATATCACTAAAATGGGTTACTAGGTTGGTATCTGTACATCTTTCAAATCGATTTACAAAAGCAAATGGGGGTGCGTTCTCAGTTTTACAGAAGCTCTAACTATAAGGAAGCTAATACCTCTTTTATTTATTCAAAAGTAATTTGCTTCTATGCAAAATCTCTCATGTAAACTCAGCTTTGGCATGATGAGTCCCTAATATACTATTGATGTCTCTACATCTACGATTCAACTTTTGAGTTAGGGTTTCGACCCTATAGTGTTAACTGTCTGTTTAACCCATTTATCCTTTGTTACGTCTCAGATAAACAGATATCCATAAAAAGTGTATGATCAGACTGTTCGAAATGTATTACCCTTACACATTACTCATTTCAGATTGATTACATTTTTTATGGTCTCGTCGAAATCCATAAGGTGAACTAACTGTTTCAAGTTCACTAAATAATTGAGCCAGTTTTGACGTGGAGCAAATTGGTCAGAATAATCAGTCTTTTTACAAAGGGGATTGGTTTTCCAACAGGTACCGAAAGAGTACTAACAGTATCAAGCTACATAGAAAAGTTATTTTTGTTGCTATAAACATGACTGCTGTTATACGGGGACAAAATTTAGTGAAGAAGTTTCATTTAATGTTACGAAATTCTGCTTTTAATAAACAGAATAACTTCTCATCTGAAGGTGTTAAAGTAGAAAGGTTTCTGCGAAAGTCAATAAAAGTCTGGTATTTTAAAAATATTCTTTATTCTAATACTTTAGATAAAAGTGATTGTGACTTTATGGTTAGACTGAGTGTGCAAAAAGGTAAGTTCTGCAACCATTTTTTCTGGTAGATGTGAACAAATTTTTGTCATAGTAAAAAACCCTTATGGTCACATGCGAGTGCTTGAACTTTAGATTCACAACGGATCATAATATTCATAATCTTATTTTGTAGCCATCACACAATCTTTCTTAGATATCTAAATATTCACTCACACACTTGTCCTTTCTATTTTTATGAGAAAGAAATGTCTTGAGATATTAAAGCAATGCAACATTTTCTATGGTTTCCAACAATATGTAGTAATGATGGGCAGTGGCTAGCAGTAGGATCCAGGATGTCAATTTCGTCCTATTTGGGATTTGTCAGCTGGACGTACCTGTCTCCCAGTGAGTGATGTTGTTCCCACCGGGATTCGGGAGCGATCGCTTCAAACACGAGGACGTTATCCACTACACCACAGAGCCACGATAGCCACTTCTTGTACGGCGGTGTAATACAAGCAATAACAGTTCCAACAATATATTTTAATTTACCACCGAAACAACTGTGTGTTTAACAAAGTTCCATATAAGAGCTAAAAGTTACGAGTAGCAACGCTGTCTACCAGCCGTACTGAGCGTAGATGAGTTCATCATTTCTTGGTGAAGTAATGTAAACCGTGAACAAATATTTTCCTGATGATATAAACATTCTTCATTTTATAAGATGGCTGTTTCAGTGTTATAAGCATATTACTTAAGGAATAGAGTCATGAGAAGTTATTGCAGTTTAGTTCACTAGAATATGCAATCCTTCTAATTGACCGATGACTACATGGCGGTAGCAAAATGACTTCCTTTTAGGTGCCGTCTGTCAGATATCCACAAGATCTAAGACGAATTGTCTTTTTAAAATACTTAGTAAAGAACGAGAAAATTTTTTTAATTATGCTGACATGTAGATAATATTATACTGGTTTAGCTAGTGATACTTTTATAGATAGATGAATAAGATTTAAATCAAGCTCTCAAAAAATCTGTTGGAATGATTTAAATAATGTAATTAAGTTTAGCGGAATTACTTGTTCGAGAGTGTAATTAAATAATCTAATATGTCCTATCACATGATCTGTTTTAAATTTAAATTTGAGCTAAGCTTTAATTTGTGAACAGAGCTGGATTGGCTACCCGTGTAGAAAAACCCTACTTTTTATAGAAACCTCAGTCTGTATTATCCACGTTTACGCTCTGAACCTATAAGCTGAGCTAGAGACCCCTTGTTCGAAACCAACAGAGACTGTCAGTTTCAGCTGGTAACTTTGGATGCAAATATACGTAAGCTAGACTAAGGTAAGTAAACCTAAGATAATTTACTGTTTGAAACAAACAGTCGATTTAATTATCTTGAGTGAACAAAACTATGAAAGACAGGGTTCCATATAATGTAGTGAAAGCCTTAGTTTTATTTTCACTTATCTAGATAGCTAATTAAACTGTTTCTTATCAAGACATCCAATGTTTTAAAACTGCTTGGTATTTGCGAGACTACGGACTCAGGAAGCCCTATAAAACCCTGAATAACAGTATGGAAACTTCTTTGCTGATCATTACACTGAGTGAAAATGTATGCTTTAGACTGTACAACTGCACTTTATGGCAGTGTTAATCAAATTAGGGTCATATATATGTCAGTCACGACTATACTAGGATGCCATACTGTATGTTTATTGAGCTATGTACGAAATGGAAGACCAAGTTAGTTGGAATCCATGATGTATTCGAAGTAGCAGGTTGAAGATATGGATCGAAACCAGTTAAAAAGCACAAGCAAACGATATTTATCTTCCTTTAAATACTTCAGACCTTGTTACACTTCTTACTGTTCATTGCCTTTTCTCCTTCTCTATTCTCTTGTCCATCCGAATATATTTCTATCCCGTTGTCTTCTGGTCTCGTTATTATTTTAAAATATTGCAACTTTAACCAATGCACTTTTAGACTAACCTTCAATGTGGAGTCATGTTCTCGTTTAATTTACCAATAGCTATTGATTGTAAAATATTTCACAGAGACATCAACTGAAAATCTCATTAATGATGCAACTTCAGTGATAACTCTTAGTAAGTACGTTTTTTCATTTAGTAGATTTTCAGTATTTTGGTGAGTATCAGAAATATTTCAATGTCAAATCTTCGATTTGAACCTGAGTAGAAACTTAAAGACAATAGTTGAAAACATGTACGAAAATAGTTGAGGAGACAATGAAACGCGATCAACTCATCGATGTTAGATTTTTGTGAAAAAATGAATTTCTCCTCAAAAAAAGTGTTTGATAAAGTATCATTCAGAAGTTCTCCTATTGTCAAAACCCTGAGATTCCTGTTTACGTAGCATAAAAAGATATTCCTACAATTAGATAGTGAGATTGGATATGCTACTCGAATGTTATTAGCAGCACTTGTTCAATCAAACATGATTTTACTAAACTATACGACTTCCACTTATTCAAAATTAATTTTCTCTCAGGTCCACAATCCCGTTTCTTTGCTGTTGATGGATAACATTGATTGCTGTCTGCAACACTCTAAGTGTGTATATGATTTCTAATTAAATTTCAGTATGTCAAAAGGTGTTCATAATGGTTTACAAGAACAGCCTAAATCGCTGGCTGAACGATTGGGTAGCGTAACTGTTGGTAAAGTTGAACCAAGTGGCTCCGCTCTTAATCTTTCTGGAAATATACAAACACGAGATATGCCACCGGATCGTTTTATAACGCATAATATGACTCAAGTAAGTATTTCCAATGGATAAAAGATCATGAATAAGCAAAGGAATTCATAAGTTGAAACTGTCCATTTGGTGAATTTACATGATGCGGAGTTTACTTTAAGATGTAAAGCATTTGCCCAATACATTTCAAAGAATCTGGTCGCAAATCTACTCGTTAAAACTAGAATGTTGTTGAATAGTATCCTGTTATTTTCACATCTCATAGACCCTTACTTTATTTGTTTGGCACCATTGTATTCCTACGCATCATGACAGATATTTTGACAAGTTAATTGCTACTTGTTCCTTTGAAATGTTCTGTGCGTATAGATTACAGTTTTATATAAACTGCCTAGTTAACACCCTATGCAAACCTCACTTTTTGCCAGCAATTCGTAACATTATGCCGTAAAATAGTTGTGCATACTTGTAGATCAAGTAGTGAATGTTTGAAAAGGTATAACTTGGACAAGGACTCTTGGTGGCACACCTTTCAATAAAGACACTAATCATCACGTTCGAAGCAACTGAAGAACACCATGACATGGCACCAAACTGTTAGCATGGAAACAAATAAGTAATCAAAGTATACATGATACTGACACTATATTCCACCTCCAAATCATTACTCAAATGATAAGTATTAAAAACAGACACATATTTATCTTAGAAGTAGTGTTCATCATGGAGTAACATCAGATGGGGAACCATTGAAAGCCCGGGAACACTGGACATCTGTTTCGTCCTAGTTTAGGACTCCTCCTCCGACCCGGCTAGGGATCGAACTCAGGACCTTCAGGTTTCACGGCCATCCCTAGCTGGGTCGTGGGTGCGTACTGCTGAGGAGTCCCATACTAGGACGAAACAGCTGTCCAGTGTTCCCGGATTTTCAATGGTTCCCCAACTAACGTCAGTCCATGATGAACACTACTTCTAAATTATAAAAATATCCCCATTCATCTCAAAAATACACTACATATTTATCTGTATGTTCGAATGAAATTAAAATTAAAGACAATTAACTGCGAAATTTTCAACAAGCATAGGGTATTTTGTTTCAAACAGGCTTTGACACACAATTCCAACCTATATCTAATATCAAGAATCGAGTAATATGAAACGGTTATCAACTCTAATGTTTTATTCCTTAGATTACTTTTTTATGAAAATTCATAGAATGAGGAAAACGTTAATTTTTCATTTCCTTTTTGTGAATCCCTTTTTGATTCATAACAATATATTATAATATTAGCTATTAAAACGAAAAGTAATTTTTAGATGTGACAACACAATTGTAACTTTCCCTTTCAGTATTATGCCCCACCACCAGGTCAAGACGCTGGTGATCGTGAAGGTCATATTCATTTTAACACACAACCTTCAAAGAAACACAGATTTCTAGATCAGCCAAATTATCTTATTTTGAAGCCCAAGAACCATCAACTGATAAATTACATGCTTTTACGCCTTATCAATCAAAGTAAGTTTCTGTTGCAGTTTAAATTAGATCATACTTTACACTAACTACTACACTTTATTCAAAATGTTTTGGTATATTAGTGGAAAATCGTTAAAAAGCTGGATTATGGAACTTAAATATTCCATGGAACTCCCTAGAAATGTGCATTATCTGTCTGAGAAAATTGAATTCATGGCAATCAGACCCTATGACCCTTTTGTTCAGCTACTGAATCGGAAATCAATGGATGGAACTCGTCAACCAACCTCTTTGAGAAATAGAGTCACCATTATTCAATAGAAAATGTAGGTATGCATTGTCACTTTTTGTGTGACACAACAATTTTCGACAAAATTCCCAAGTATTCAATGGAAGTTGTTTCCTCATTAATCTAATTTTTATACACCATCCATAAAATGATAAAATGCAGTGCACCAGCAGTATAGACAGACTGAAAAATTTTCACTTGGGAACATGATCGTAAAATTCAATTTATTTCATTGATACAACCTTTTAAGTACAACCAATCAGGATGAAAGTTAAGGCGGAAATGGTTGCATAACTCGTAAGGCCAAGATATGGTGTTATCTTTGTCTACACCTGAATATCTCTGTATTGTCTAATCCGTCGTTTCATGATCTATGTTAAGTAAAGATTGAATTGAGCTCATCTTTTTTAGTAAGCACATTTTGAGGGAACACGGTTGGTGAATATTAGTTTTGTTACACATAAGAAGGTATTTAGCTTGAATTCACATCAACTTTATACTACCTTAATTTCTTTTTGTCTTTTTGCTTTTGTAGAAGTATTCAGGCAAGGGATACGCTCCCTATTCCACCTACAAAAAGCATCATCTGATCTGTCATCTTGTTCCTATCCAACAGCTTGAAAATTTCCGTTAATTTTCAACAATGGTTTTGAAACACTTTATAACTTTAGATAATGTTGTTAAGTTACTTACTATTAGGTAGTAGCATGATTTTATTTTTGGACTTTATTCATGAAATAAAATCTATGGATTACTCTACTTGCCTTTTGCAAATGCTGTATATCGATAATTAGTCTGAGCATCATATTCACTTTGTGCACTGTAGATAATTATACGGTTTATTTTTGCTACTCTCCTCCAAGCATAGCTTCATTACATTACAAAGTAATGAAGGAATACTGAAGGCTTCACACTTAAGTCTTCGACATAGTAAGATAGAAGTAATTATGCGTCGAACTTCTTCACTAATAGAACAACAGAGTTCCCAAAGCTACCATTCTCTTCACTTTCTTCCCTTCTTCAACATCGTACAAACTGATTGTTCTACTTTGACTTCTAAATGCACAAGAACTTGGTGCGTTGTAGTTGCAGTCATTTCACGGTTGCTTATTGGAATCTCATTTTCCATCCTATCAAAAAGCCTGCAAGGTGCTCCGTTTCTTAAACATAATGTCGTTTATGCTATGATCACTTCACAGATATTTGGTCTTCTCCCCGCGGCGTATATCTTTGTTACTTCTAGTTCCGTCACTTCACTGGTTTCGTGCATAGAGAATGCCCCATACTTCGTGGTCACCTAATTTTCATATCAATTATCTCTCCTACTTCTCGCAGGAAGTCTATTCTCAGTATTAGTCATTGTAAGCCTGTAGTCGTGATTAATTAGTAACTTGTTTCGCAACCATCTATTTCCAAAAAATTAAAAAATTTTTAACTCATGTCTCCTATCATCGGGACTGCTAACGTACATCGTATTAGGCTTTGACACTGATATTTGTCTATTAGCGAAATCGCCGCCCTCTTCCAACTAGCAGGAATAATTTCCATTTTTTTGTCTATTCTCGCATAACTCACACCTTTAGCTACTACTGCAAGAACCTCTAGTTTAATTAGAAAGAAAGAAGGCAAATTGTATCGTTTGAAATACTTGCGTTTCCATCTGACTGGGAAGCTTCTTAACCAGTTTCCTGTTATTCCACAGGTGAAACATCTGTCGTTTTTGCTGACCGTTTTTTCAGAAACCTGCCATCCGACCATGAAGTGCTTCATTGCTTGACTTTGACACATCAGTGTCTGATCTGTCAGCTGCATGGGGCAGTTTAGTTACTTCACTGTACAGTGCTACTAGTTGTAACTATTCTGCAATGGCTGCAAACATGCAGTTGTGCTTGATACAATTCATTGAATACTCGACATCCGAAACTTGTCATCATTATTCCCAATGCTAAGGTGCTACCTTCTTTACAGAGCCTTGTAACTGTGAATCTCTGCAGGGCTGCCCGACCTAACGACCAGCCGAACAATAGCAGTCTCCCGTGTTGCCATCTTATCAGCCTCCTCCATGCTTTCGTATGCCCCCGTCGCCCACCCCTCAGCAGCTTTCCTCGGAACCACTAAGTCCACCTTCAGTTCCTGGATTCCCGTTGGCTGTGGAAGAGTTTCCACCTTCTTTGAGAAGGTCACCACCTATCCATTCTCTAAAACTGAAGACTACAGCACCTCCATCTTAACCATAATTAGGGACACCAACTGTAATAAGGACACAGACGAGAACCGATAAAAACCTTACACTCAACACAATTTATGAAGTCTCTACATTCTTCATCCAGATGAGTTGGTCTTCAATTTCTGTTGCCTAATCATGTTTCTCATTTCTTCCCTCAGAATCTATATTGACTGGGTGATAAATGTACTTACTTTCCCTTGGACATAATAGTATATATCATTTACATTTTTTTGCATAAACAGCACGCACCACACGATCACTATAAATAATCTATGTATTTAGTTCTCGTAAGCCTATCGGTTAGTTAGAATTTTGCAGCACTGTAGCTTTGAATGATACCTTTTGAATACTGATAAGCCTCTTAGTTTGAAATTTTTTCTGATGTACTAGGTTAACAACATTACTAATATGTTCGTTACATCGTAGGAGTATTCATCATGGAATGATACAAGTTTTGATTTATCCCATCGTTGCGTTTTATAAAGAGTAATATTTTTCATCTAAATCATCTCCTTCAAGAGACAATAGCTAGTCCAGGGGAGTATCATAGGAGAAATATTTCAAACTATTTGACAATATATTCACTTTTTTGTACTAGGAAAGCAATTGGAACTCCACAGAGTAGAGTATGCGCAGTTTGTATGCAAATATCAGTTGTTACTTTAGGGGGAATAATAGAATAAACTTCTTGTTATACTGGGTGAAGTAAGAAAGCATTCGTAAAATGCAATATAAATGTTTGCCGTAATTTGATCGTAATCCCAAAAGTAAAATAATTTTGGTCCAAATAATCTAACGTTATGGCAGCTTAATTTGTCTACATGGGATCAGTTTAAGTAAATCAATATTTTGTACTCTTTTTTTCCTATCTAGTGTATTCAAATCGACTACATATCATTAAGTTTATGTAAATCAAAAGCACAAAGAAGAATATGCTGCACAACAGAAAGTAATCAGTTATTTCAGATGGTTTCTGCATTGATTCTTTAAAAGTTAAAGTATTTTAACGTCCCACGACCATTTGTCTTCAGGTTTTAACTTCAGTATATAGTGCGTATTTACTGGATTATTGTGTATAAAGTAAAGTAAAAGCCTAAGCCGTTCCAACTGAAGCTTTTATCTTCAGTGTTCGCTTCAAACGGCCTGATACCCAGGCGCAACAGACGATAGATAAGTCCTTAATTTTAGTATCTGCTTGTCTGTTACCCACATAATATGAAAAGTAGCTGACATGCTTCTACTTGAGGAACCAGGCGATGACTTAAATATTCAGTGACCTTAATTAGCAGAAATTTAAAGAGTCTCACAATGCCATAAACCACACTCTTCATAATTTGATGTTAGTCATTCTCTGAGTATATCACAACAATGGCTAAATGTCTTGAAGCTATCAAAAATTATCGATAGATTTGGCCGTCATTTCTATATTAAATGAATAGAATGTAGTCGAGTTTACGAGAAACCTGTAAGCTGGTGGCCTAGTTGATAACCCTCTGACGTTTATAGCGACCGGTCCCGGATTCCAGTCTTGGTCCAAACAAGACTGCTCACAGAGAGGCAGGTATATCTGGCTAACGAGTCCCAAATAAAAAGAAAAGTGCGTCATGCATTTCACTGCTAGTCATTATCCATCATTAAGGTCTTGTTTTTTGAAAATTCCCATTAGTAAGGCACTTTAAGGAACAATGAAAATTTTTCTCAATAACTCCCTCCTCCGATTTAACAGTTATATATCTGTACATGTTGATCGAAGCACAAAGAGACTAAACCATCTTTGTTATTTCCGTTCTGTATTTAAGTGTATGCACATCAGCATTATAACAGGACGACTTTCCTATATTTTATGTCCCCCTTATTTATGTTTATGTTTATATGTGTTAACTTCACTATTAAAATGAACAGAACTCATTTTTACCTTGAACCACAATCAGTCAGCACTATAAAATTCACTATTGTTCATAATCGTTTTGATCAGCAGGTCTTGGAGTTATTCAACTTTGAACATTTTAGCTGTCTAGAGGCAATCGGCAGATAGTCATGGACCGACATTTTGCGCTTGTTAGCACTCATCTGTAAGGTATCTACATTATCGAGGGGACTGATGTCTACTGTGAGATTCGAACTCAGAAACGTTACCACTGAGCTATTCAAACCGTGACTGTCCTTCTGCAGGAGTGAATTTTGACTCTTTAGTTTTTATCGCCTAAGTAGTTAATTATTTTAAATTGGATTCTGACACTGACTTTTTTCAAGTGAGTTCTCAGACTGTTTGACATTTACTACCGACTATCATAAAAGAACTCCACTGCTGCTAACCTCCATTTATCATTTGGTAAAACAATATAGAAATATAACTACATAACCCAAGAAGTAAATTATGGAAAAGAATATTGGTTGTTCACTATATTACAATATTTCCTTGTTTAGTGATCATTATTTAAAAGAACTGACTATGGATGCTACCATTAGAAATTTTCTCGTTGCTCTCTAAGTACATTTAAGTGTTATATTCTTACTGAAGTGAAAAAGCATGTTGATGAAGTGTAATAGTGATATAATTTAGCCAGCATAAGGAAATTTATTGCAAATTCATAATCGATAGTTGGATTGTTTTCTTGGTGAAATTAAGATAGACACAGTTACTTTACAAATGTAGGCTAGAGTTATAGTACACCATTCTTTTTTGTCTTCACTGTATCCACCTATCACCGGTCTCTAAGCGTATTCTAACTATGGGCAGTGCTGTAGCCTCAAATACATAGTTCAGGGCCTCGGTAAAATAAGTTTTCAATTTTTTAAGTAATAAAGCTTATATGTTTTTAGGTGAATTTTAGTTGTAAGCTACTCATATACGAACAGATACATCATGTATTGTTTTTACTAATCTTTCTTCGATATGTTATTTGCCTTAATAGTGAGTTTAATATGATTTGAAATTATTTTATATATCTCCAAGTGATTCAGTCGACATATTAATGTTAATTAAATAAATGTATGGACAAATTGAGAAACTTAGGTATGAACAGTATGACGTTTTAATGTAAGTACATTGGTATTATTATGGAATTCTTCATGTACATTTCCATCTATCTGAGAATAAATAGTTCCATTTGGGAAACACTTATTTTTTTCTGTTCGTAGGTTTTCGGAACTACGCTGAATTAAAGTGTACAGATTCACTAGTCACTGCTGCGAAATTCTAGATATCACTTAGTAGTTTAGTTTCCACTGTGGAAAAATTAGCTATACAAAAGCCTCTGATGCTGTTAGTAATGGTGGATACAGTAATCCAACAAATAAATGGATATAATTCAAGAATGGTTTATCTGAAAATATCTATATCCTATAGACAGCTAAATTACCGCCAACTTAGTAGTGATTGTCTCTAGAGTATTGTTCATCATAAGCTGATACAATTTTTTTAGCAATTACTCCCAATCAGAGTATGTCATTGGGCTGTTTCGTCTTGTAGTGAATTACGCATTTATGAGCAAGTATTAGTATTCCCAGCAACCTTAGATCCTGTATGT